CTCCGTGTTTGAAATGGACTGCAAGGCAGTAGTATAGTATTTATATTTTTCTTTCTTCTCTCCTCACTCTTTTTTTTACAAATTTGTCTTACTGCGTTAATCAATCTTTCAGGACCAAACAAGTTCGTAGGCCTCATTCCTAAATGTTCACAATGTTTTTGCATTATCTGAGTTGATTCATTACATAGGGCATATAAAACTCTATCAGCACCTGGATTGTCTAATAACCCTCTGTTACGCATACTAAAAATTGCCGTAATCGGATTGATACAAGCATTAATTACTAAATTCTCTAACAATCTATTTTGCAAGCTTAGCACATTAATATGTCGTACATATAATTCAGGAATTTTGGTTAAAGTTTTTATTGTTGTATGTAACGAATCCACAATAATATTTACATTTTCGGAATTTTCCGACATTAACGTAGATGAATTATCTTCTACTGATGATGGAGGCATTTCTCTGGAATAATTTCCTTCTATTGATTGGTCATCACGTCTAGGTATAACCCCAAGATTAATTTCTCCAATATCACTATGCAATATATCAAATTGACTACCCGTATTCTTTATCTTCGTATTCTTTATTTTACGGCATACATGCGTGGACGCTCCCATCAAAATGTTTGGTCTTGATTTTTTGTTGTTTACGAAAAAATTATCCATCAGTTCCTCATAAACCCCCATTCCATTTGATAATAAAACTATTGTGCTTGTTGGAGATAACCGATGGAAGATCTTTTGAAATGATTGATTTACATCATAAGCTCTTGTTGTGACTATTAGTCGCTGAATCTGCAAATTTGGTGGGCACACGCCATAATGAAAATGTTGGTCCATTAATTTATTCATATTATATCCACGTAAAACTTCGGTATCATAGCCGTGAGTTTGCTCAACATTATATTCTTTATCCTGAATTACAGTTATTGTCCGTTTACGTTTTTCAAAATAGGCAAGGGCAGAGGGAGTCCGAAGTATCAAAGTAACCTTATGATTGTGTTTTCGGAGGTAATGAGCAATCAAGTTACCGAGACCACCGTTACCAAGAATATGAAACCTCATAGTTAATACTTTTTTAATTTCTCGTGAATGAGTTTTTTTTTTGGTCTGATTGGCTAATGCAAAAGTTACCCGAACATATCTGCAGCAACCAATCAGACTGGTCACGCGCTGTAGATCATTGTCTAGTCATAAAAATACATAGTTTGAATTTCGAAGATATCGATAACCAACTGATCAAATTTTTTTATTTGAATTTATAAGTCTGTAAAGTTCGAATAAAACAAATTTTTTTATCAAATTTGGTCAGGTGGTTATCGAGATATTTTCGCTCAAAAGTTTTAAAAAATTTTGATTACTTTTAAAGATATTTCGACGATTACCTGAGAACCTTTGATGAAAATTTTTATTTGAATTCTAAAAGTATGTAGAATTTGAATAAAAAATTTTATTAAATTTAATCGGGTAGTTGTCAAGACATTTGTTAAAAAATTTTTTAACGCAGCTTCATCTTAAGACATTTGGATTTTTTTTTCTAAAACTTATGAGCTAAGATATTTCGATAACACTTGATTAAATTTAATGAAGTTTTTTATTTGAATTTTACAATTCTGTAGATTTCAAATAAAAAAATTATATCGAATTTGGTTAAGTTGTCAATATATCTGTTTAAAGTCTTAAAAAAGATCAAAACGTCTATGAAAATAAAGTTGCATCAATATTTACAATATATTTTGACAACGATCTGACTAAATTCGATATTCAAATTAAAGTTGCAGATGAAATTGGTGAATGCTAGTGAAAATAAATATAGCAGCCAATGAGAACCTTGGGTTGAAACCATTTTGAAACTTAAAATTAGTTCAACCTGCAACTCTATTTCAAATTTTAGTTATATGGCTATCGCGATATTTTCGCTCAATTTTTAGAAAAACAACAAAATGGTAAACTGTTTTAGCCATGATCAATCAAAATTTAGTGATTATTCAAAATTTTTAAAATTTTTTAAACTTCTAGTGAAGGTTTCTCAATAACTACTTGATTAAATATGGTAAAAAAAGTTTTATTTTAATTCTATACTTTTGCAAAATCAAAATGAAAAAAAAATTATTAAAGTTTTTTTTTATTTTAGCTATCTCAACAATATCTTTTATTAAGCTCAATTGTTCAGTCAAACAAAAGCACATTCAAGTGATTATAATATTTAGAATCTGACATCCTGTAGTTATTTTTAAAAGCATTTTCAAGTAACCAGCTATACTGGGCTAATATATCCTATATTTTAAATAAGTCAATAACATATTATAAAGTTAAATTATAAAGCCTGAAAGATCTTATCAGACCACTGTTTTACAATAGAATATTGCCAATCTGATAACATTTTTTGTAAAAAAAAAAAAAAAAAAAACATTAACACTAATATTAATACTAAAAAGAAAAAAGAATAAGAATAAAAAAAACTAATATTAAAATTAATACAAAGAAAAAAATTAAAAAAAAAAGAAAAAAGAAATCTAATAGTCATAATTATAAGCTTGTGTTGGGCTTAACAAAATTACATATATGTAATAAAGCAGTTTTGCATCTAACTATATTATCTGGAAGTTTCTTGACAAACATATTAATGTTAAAGTTGATTTGTTAGATAAAATTTTTGTTGATGATATGAATCTTTACAAAAACTTTTTACAAATTATTAATGAAATTCTATACTACATTAACTGGTATCGTTATTTTGAGAAACGACAAAGCCTGATAAACAAATATACTGCATATGTAATTTCTTTATCAAAAAATATGCGAAATACAAATTCAAACCTGAACTTTCCAAATCAAAATTTTACAGATTTGGATTAATTATATTCTAAATCAGAATTTTACGGATTTGAATTAATTATATTCCAAATCAGAATTTTACGGATTGGGTTAAATTACATTTCTAAATCAGATTCTTGTGTTTCGAATATTTTCATTTAAAGAAAACGAATATTTTTTAAAAATATTGAATACTTTGAAACCATAACCGTCAAATCAGATTCTTATGTTTCGAATATTTTCATTTAAAGAAAATGAATACTTTAAAAATATTGAATACTTTGAAACCATAACCGTCAAATCAGATTCTTGTGTTTCGAATATTTTTATTTAAAGAAAACAAATACTTTAAAAATATTGAATACTTTGAAACTTTAAAATATTGAATACTTTGAAACTATAACTAACAAATTAGATTCAAAATTTTATTTATCCGATAAATTATAAATCTAAAGACCGATTAGAACTTTCTTTGCGCAATTTTTTATTATTTTTTCTTTAAGGTGAGAGGGCTCCAACCGTATCTTGTTTAGGAATTCGCTTTCTTCACATTATACTAACTCTCACTCCCTGGCTGATAATTTATTATCCTTATCATTATTTTATCAAGAAATCAGTTGATAACTCAAAAAACTCATGTGATTCTTATATTGATGAATTTATTCGTATATTACAAATCTTAGAAGTAGATAAAGACGAAGGTAAATTAATACTCGAAACAAAAAACAAAAATATATATCTGATGTTTATTGAAAAGAGAATCGATAAATGGTTAAAGAATGGTTGGGTCAC